GAACCTCAACCAAAGAAAAAAATGGGCAGGCCTAGGTTGGAACCTGATTTGGTTAATTGGTCAGGAACTAAAACAGGATCTAGAGGTGGTGGAAGGGCTGGTGGAAGGGTTGGTGGAGGAAGGAGTAGAGGTGGTGGTAGGGGCTCTAGTGGAAGAGGCAATAGAGGTGGTGCCATTCCAAATGTTGAGAGTGAAAATGATGCAAGTCCAGATTTACAAGAAATTAGCTTAACAATTGACAACCTAAGGAAATCTTTATACACTACAGAAGAGATCATGGACTGTCTTGGACTCACTGAAGCAGAAGTACAACAAATTGAAGATGTGGATGTTGCTATGTCACAAGTATGCTTTCTTTCTCATTATTCATTTTGTGATGTTAAATCTTGCTAATTGGTCTTTTTGTTATGCTTGTTACAGGATGTTGGAATTGCTAGCCAAATAACAGTTGAAGAACTCCCTACAAATCATGTACTTGGAGATGAGGAAAGGATGAATGGGGAGGATGGCATAGATGAGCCAGGGATGGGTGAGGTAATGACGAATGAGGAAAGGATGGATGGAGAGAGAGAAATACCTAGCACACAACAATTGAATCAAGTCAGAAAGAGGACTACAAAGAGGAGCAAAGTGAATCAAGTCAGGAGGAGGAAGCCTTCGGAAAGGATAACAAAGATCCAGTTGCAAAAGGTGGTAGCTGTCAAGAATGGAAAGGGGATGAGTTCATCCAACCCCCTTGGTCTAGATTAGGGTGTTTCTGATCCCTACTTTTGTTAAGAACATGTATAAAACTTTTGGGTTTGGGAAAATGTTGATAGCCCCTTTTGTTGATAGCCCCTTTTGTTTACATCCATATAAACTATAGGCTTTGGGCCCCTTGATCATGTTTTTGGGCATTTACACAACTTGCCATACAACTTGTTTGGCTTTGGTTAATATTACTACATGTTCTATGATTAACAATGTTTATGTTCCCTTTGGTTATATTGATTCCTTGTTTTATAGATTCCAGTCATGCATACATTACTTGTGCTTACAATGTTTGCTTATATGGATACTAGTTATGCATGATTCCGGTCATGCATGATTCCGGTCATGCTTGATTCCGGTCATGCTTGATTCCGGTCCTCTTATGTTAAACTTGTTCTGGCTTTGGTTAATATTACTACATGTTCAATTTTATTTTCCCCTTCTTTTAATTGCCTCCATAATCCTCTTATGTTAAAATTGATGTAAGGGTAAAATTGTCATTTCAGACACTAAACCTTCAAAATCTTCCCATGAATGTGGCCATCCATTCTTGAAAGCCATACCTGTCAAGGTTGAAAGCCATATCTAGTTATGCATGATTCCGGTCATGCATGATTGACTCCATTATGTATTGATTCGTTTGTGTATGAAGTCCATTATTAACTTATTACAGTCATACTTTGATTCCATTCATTGATTACAATCAATACATTTAAAGTTCATACATAAACTAGATACTTCATTCATAATCATATGAGTAACAAGATACTACATTCATAGTAAACTAACAACCCTTAGTCATAACCAAAACAAACACAACCAAAATACATTAAAACAACTTTCTATCCTACCAATCCATCAACATAACCAACAAAAACACAAAAAAAACCACAGAGACATAAAGCAATGATTTCCATCTTCCTCCTTCCACTGCTTGTTGTGCAATTGGTTGTTGTGCCATTGGTTGTTCCACAACGTCTCCAAAAAAGTTCCCAGCTGGTTGTTCTTGCCCAAACTCCCCAAATATTCGATGGTTCTCCAAATCGACATTGTTGTGTAATACTAATAACAGATCTGCATACCACTGGCTTGGTAGAGGAGGATCCACCCAACGAAAGTACTTGCAATCTTTGAGTCCATTCTGGTAATTTGGGCATCCTATAAACCTTCTTCCTGGGTTTAATGGAGTCCATGAAGTCCATCTTCCTACAGGATCACCACAGTAGCACCTCTTTCTGAGACGATTCATTGAAGATGAAGAAGACGAAGAAGACATTTGTCTTGGTCCTCTACTGCTCCTGCTTCAATCGTTGTCTGCTAGGGCACGAATGAAGTTTTCCACTATATTTAGAGTTTAATACAAGGCCATTAAATGACTCACCAACCACCTCAACAAGTCCTTGCCACATAAGCCAATTTAACCGGCTAAATGAAGGTCACCGGTAAAATAGGGCCGAAATGTTCAATTTACCCGGTTTCCTGGGTTTTTTTGTTCAAAAAAAAAAATGTTGGGACAAAAGTGTAACTTTTCCCAAAAGTTTGGGACTTTTTTGAAGATTTCCCTTTTATGTAAATCAATCCACTATAACCCTCAAAAATTAAAACTTTTACCGAAACAACATAAATGAAAACTAGGTAAACGTGTAACCGTAATTTAAGCCTAGGCAATCGGCCGACAAATTAGGTAAATTTGGTCGTCCAAATGATCTATTTACACCCATAGACTAATATGTTAAAAGGATTAATGTCATATCTCACATGTTTATTGTTTTGATGTTCGATTTTCTTTCGGATTTAGTTTTAACGAAGAAACCAACAATTTTTTTAAACCTGATCTAGAGTTGATTTTGGCTCTAACAAACTTTGAAGTTTGGAAACTTTTTTTATGTTGGTCTATAATATACAATCAAAATCGATTGAAAACAATGGATACACACTTACCAATTGATAGTAAACAACATAAATTGAGAAATGAAGTAACCAGAATGTTCTTTTCTTTACTTTTGTTGCCTTCTTCCTCTCGATCATTCCTTGTGATCGACATCCTATGTGATGAAATCGACAAAGATACACTCATATTTATAAGCTACAAAAGTTATCTATTCATAATTGTAATCAAACGAAGTTAAATTATGTTTTTCCAATTATCATCTTCCTCCTCTTGGATTAGAATGGTTTTTTTTCCCTAGAAATCTATTTCATCAGGATAAAATTATTAATTAAAAATTTGAATAATTAACAGCTTCCAATATATTTAATTCAATTTTACACCAAGTTTAATTCATTTAACAACTAAGTTACAAGAAATTAATAATTTCCAAGAGTTCAACATCTAACATCTACTTTTTGTAGAACCGTTCACTATTTGAATAAAACTGGATTGTTCAATTTGGATTGGACTATCTGGTTCGGATATTTGTATTTTTGGATTGGTTTTCAACAAAATCGAATTATTATTTTGGATTGGTTTTGGTTTATAAAATTAGAACTGAATAGTCCCAAAAAACCGAATAAACATTTATTACTTATTTATTTTTAATATATATCTATAGTTATTTATTAATTTTCTAATTTATTTTTTCAAATAGGTTCAAAATATTTCACCCAATAAAAAAACATTAATATGCATTTTCTCTCAAAAGTTTTCTATCCATAAAATATTTTGGATTGGGTAATATTATAATTATATGTCGTTTTAAAATGTTTTGATTTCTGAAAACCGAACTATAAACGAATTGTAATTAGATTGGATCGGATCGAATTTGAATTTAGTTTGGACTATTCGGATTCATATTTTGAAAATCGAAATTAATTCAAATTCACTTGATTGGATTATATAAAATCGATACATCCAAACGAACACCCCTAACTTTGTGGGTGTTACAAGTAAAACAATTATGCCTACTCCACTGATATAGACTACACATTTTATTAATTTTACCTTGTCCTTATGATTAAAACATGATCGTGGTCTTGTGGCCGGCCGACTTGACTTTTTTCTATCACCGGTGGTTTAATGATCAACACTTCATCGGTCATTTCTCATTCCGATATATTTTGAGCACTAGATGTTGCATCCTGGCATGCACTATGCAGCTCAAGAAACATGTGACATGAATTAGGAGATAACTCAATCACAACAACTAACAACAAATCACTTTTTAATAGGGGTGTTCATCGGTTAAAATCCAATGGATTTTGATGGAACCGATCCAATTCAATTATCCATTAGATGTTGGATTTTGTTAACCGATCTGATCCAATACATATATGCAACCGAACTGAACCGATGTTTTATCCATTCCATTGTATATATTTGATTGATTAATTATCCATTATCCAACAAATCTAAATCCAATTTCTATCCAATAACAACCAAATATAATTATGATAATTAAAACTAAATCAAACACACTTACGATAAATAAGACTAACAAATGACACCTCGAAGTCTTCAACTTCAATGACCAAGGTTCAAACATGCAAAATCATTAAGAGTATTGGTTATATTTGTAATTTTTATATTAATTGGATAATAATATTGTATTGTAATTTCCTGATTAGATTAACATTGGATCGGTTCAGTACGTTATCCATAAGATTTTTATGGTGATCCAATAGCTTATCCAATCTAATTGTATTTTGAAATTTCAAAACCGATCAAGTCCAATTGTAATTGGATATCCAATCCAATGATCTGTTTTTTAGGGATTAATACTCCAACATGTGATATATGTAATCTAAGCATACTTTTTTCTTAAAATAATGAAGGACCTTTTCTATAAACTACTCTAAGATGGAAAAGAAAAGGACAGGATTTAAAGAGAGAGGAGTGTTAAATCTAAGTTCTTTTAACATACTATAGGGACCATTTGTATAAACTACTCTAACGATAAAAGAGAAAGAGATAGAGTAGCGTAAGAATATGAAAAAGAAGAGGGCCCTTCGTCTCTAAATTTCACTTTATATATAAGATTTAGATTTATTGTGGGCCACTTAGTTTTTTGGAGGGCGCTATTCATAATTGATAATTCAAATCCATTGCATGTGTCTACAATACATCCAAGAGGGGCGGCTCTCTTCATCTTTCCACTTACATCCGCCCATGTCACTGGAATCCGAGACAGGTTGTTTAGACTTTTTCGGTGCTTTAATTTAAAATTCAATTAAACTTATTTAATTTATTAAGATACCACTGAACTGAACTGCGTATAAATTTTCGTCTACACTTCTTTAGAAATAAATTTAAAATTCAAAGGGAGTAACTGTTATTCTACTTTGTATTTGATATAAACGACATCAATTTAAAAGTTGAATAATGAGAGTGGCCTATGTTATCAATTATCATAGTCGAAAAAATCGAGTTTCATTCATCATAAAAGAAAAAAAATAAGCAAAAGAGGATTACATAAGACATCCACGAATCACAACTCTGGTTAAAACAAATTTCATCTCTACGCAAACATACATTATCATTATATTATATTACATCAAACATACAATGGTCCAAGAAGTTGAGAAGGAGACTAGTTGGATTTGGTCAAATTCAAACTGAAATCCCAGAGTTTCTTGGAGAGTTCTGCATCTTGAGCATGTTTGCTTGCTTTACCCATGTTGCTGTCTGCAAAATACTCACCACTAACCCCCTCAACTTGTGGGTTCAAGGCGACATAGCATGTAGTTGCAGCTCCCTGTGGGATGTTCTTCAAGAAACGGTTGAACACACCATAGAAAAAAGCTGTAAATACCAACATAAGTAACACATCATCATCATCATCATCATCATGCATGAAAAAAGATAACTAGCTAGCTAATTTCATGTGAAAAATAATACGGAAATCGATAGGTGAAATTAGGGGTTGAGAGATACCATTGAAACCACCATGGCGTGCAAGTCCTGTTGCAATAATTCCAGGGTGCAGACAATTCGCCGTTATATTCACACCTTCTTCCTGAAACCGTCTTGTCAGCTCTTTTGCATGCAACGCATTTGCAAGCTTTGATTGCCCATAAGCTGAGAATGCACTATAACTGCATCACAAATAACCAATAAACACCATATATTAATTGAATGGTTATAGAATATAATGAAATTAAAGGATGCTATGAATCTTGAAAGAAATAAGAGACGATTTAGATCGATGGTTTACCTGTTCTCGTCATTGATTTTGTCGAACCTAATGCCTTCTTTGTATGTCATCCTATGAATCTCGGATGAAAGAATAACGATCCTTCCTTCTTTCCCACTTTCTTTTGTGGTCTTTTTCATGGTATCCAGCAACAAGTTTGTCAAAAGGAAGTTACCTAAACAAAACAAAACAAAACAAACAAAATTCTTTTTCATCACCATGTATGTTCCTTTCTGCATCTAAACAGCATATACAAGTATATGGAAATCACGACATACCAACATGGTTGGTTGCGAATTGCAATTCGATGTTGTCTTTGCTAAGAGAGAAGGGAGGACTCATGATCCCTGCATTCAGTCTTTCAACACAAAAAAATTGATAAAATCAGTTCATTTCCAACATCCCAACAAGTGTTTTAAATGATCGATCAAATGAATTTTTCTTACATCAAGATGTTCAAAGGATACCCCTTTGAACAATATTGTGATGCAAATTGTCGTACGGATTCAAGTGAGCTGATATCTAACTCCATCACATCAATCTTGGCATTCGGGATTTTTTCGACGATGCTTTCTTTCACCTTTTTACCAGATTCGAGGGTTCTGACTGGCATAATGACATGTACTCCACGTAAGGCAAGGACACGTGTTGTTTCTAAGCCGATACCGCTTGTAGCTCCTGAAAGTCATATAAAACAGGGGTGTCAAAGGACTGAATTTGAGGAGATTTTGGTTTTATTTATTAGAACATGTTAGATTAGATGCAAAAATGGTTCATAATATGCAGATCACTTATAAATCTGAATCGAAATTGATCAGGGTTTTAACTTCATGAAATATTATACAGTTAAAACATGTTGTGCGTTAAATTACTGCACAATCCGAAGATAGTTTCTGCAAAATTTTCACTATAACAGAAACCAACATGATTTCTAACTCTAAACTTATGATACACTTATTGATTCGTAGCAGAAATCAAACCACCAACGGTTGAGTTTTTCTTTCCCCTCCAAATGATTAATGGAGACATGTTCTTGTATGCCGTTCTAAAAAAATTGAGAGCTGTTCTTGAACTATCATGACAGACACACACACAGAAGTTTGATTCCGACAAAGCAATATCATCATTCATCAACCAGAAACAGAGAATTCGACCACACCAACACAAATGCATTAGAAGGAAAATTACCAGTAACGATGGCGGTAAGGCCAGTTCCATCGATTCCTTTCGTAACATCTTCAGCTGTAGAAGAAGCAGCAAATCCAGATTTACCCGTGAATATTGAAATCCAAGTCATCTTTGCGTACTTTTTTTTTTGGATTGAAAACGATAACCAACTGAGAGAAAGTTTTTGTAGAAGACGATTCAAGTTACGATAACGTCGCAGATAATCAAAGAAAAAACCGCTTAAATGAAGCTCTTGTAAGATGATTTCAATTTGAGATGAAAACTTGGATAAAACAACACCTATATATAGGGTCCCCAAAAAATCAACGAAGAAGATAATAATTGGCGTAAGAGATGGAAGTCATGGAACCCATACTCGTCTTCCACGCTACAAAATAAAAAAGCGTGAGAATTCATAGAAAAGTCAGACGTCAATCTTGAACGATTTGAAATCTAGAAGAATGAACTAATGAGTATATTACATTTTTTCTCCTTGAAGTTTATACCTTTATACATGTTTGGTTTTAATTTTTATGGTTGGTCGTTTGCTTCATATATATATATATATATATATATATATATATATATATATATATATATATATATATATATATATATATATATATATATATATATATAGGTTTAGGTTCATTTGAGACCATTCTAATTTTGTGAGACCGTGAGACCAAATCTAAAAATAATTTTAAAATGCAAAATAAATGGAAAAATCCAAAAAATCTTTTTTTAAATATTATTTTCGGAACTTGAATTAACTAAAAAAAAATATAAAAAAATTATAAACAAAATAAAAAAAATAAAAAAAATTCCGTTTTTTTTTATTGAAAATACGTAAAATATTCTAAATAGAATATTACACTGACATATTCTAAAAAATAATTTTAAAATGCAAAATAAATGGAAAAATCTAAAAATTCTTTTTTTTTTAAATATTATTTTCGAAACTTGAATTAACTAAAAAAAATTCTATTTTTTTTTTTTGAAAAATACGTGAAATATTCTAAATAGAATATTACACTGTACATATTCTAAAAATAATTTTAAAATGCAAAATAAATGGAAAAATCAAAAAATTCTTTTTTTAAATATTATTTTCGGAACATGAATTAACTAAAAAAAAATTTAAAAATAAAAAAAATAAAAAAATGCGTCTCACGGTCTCACAAAATATAGGTGGTCTCAAATGAACCTAACCCTATATATATATATATATATATATATATATATATATATATATATATATATATATATATGGAAAAGGGAATATACATTACAGCCCCATCTAAACTTAGGTATTAAAACTCTTGAAAATACATTGTTTTACTATATAAAGATTACGGTTAATGGATTCATGATTAATACTTCAAGATGTAAATTCAAGATCAACACAATAGGGTTTAGGGTTTAGGGTTTAGATTTAGGGTTTAGGGTTTAGGGTTTAGGTTTAGGTTAGGGTTTAGGGTTTAAGGTTTCGGGTTTAGTGTTTAGGTTTAGGGTTTAGGGTTTAGGGTTTAGATTTAGGGTTTATGGTTTAAATTTAGGGTTTAGGGTTTAGTAATGTTCACTTGGGTGAAGTAATAAACGGTAATTAAGGAATCAAAACAGGGATGATAAAACGATAATGAAAGAAAGAAATGTTGTGGAGGATGATATATTTACCAAGTGAAACCAAACCGGGTATATCTAGCATGTTAAAACGGCATATTTTAGAAGTTTAGTACTTAAGTTTAGATGGGGCTGTAATGTATATTCCCTATCCCTATATATATATATATATATATATATATATATATATATATATATATATATATATATATATATATATATATATATATATATATAGGGAGTGGTTCAAATAAGAACTCAAAATGGTTAAGAACCATAAGAATCATTTTTAAATGTTTTCATTAAGGATATTTTAGACAAATCCAACATTTATATTGTATTAATCAATTTTTTTTTTTTATTTTCTAGTTGCTACTTGTTGTCGGATCATCATTGGACCGACGTCGGAACACCATCGAACCACGGACAAACTAACAACAAATTTAGTGGTATTTTTATGGTTCTATTTAAAGCTTAATATAATAAACATTATAGCTCTTATTTTCTTCGGTAATATTTCTTAACACATACTATTTCCTTTTTGAAGCCAAATATAGAAAATCTAATAAAAAAGAATTATGTCTCGATAAATTCCATTTTCTCTCTTTTAAATTGTATATTTCTTTTAAATAAAACTATGTATCGTTTATAAGACATATTTACTATTTAAATTACCATATGCATAGTTTAATAGACATTTAATTTATTAATATGTTTTTAATATTTTTATGCATATATTCATTCATAATTTAACACAAAATTCATATAATATATACAATTTAATAAAGTCCATTTTTAGTTTAATACATAAAATTCACAACATAACCTAATACAATCTATTATAAAAAAATACGCATATTTAAACAGGTTAAACTTAAACTCTACGACCTCCATCACCACCACCACAAACCACATGTGCCATTACGGCAATCTTCCTTCTTTTCGAATGAGATCTATATATAAAATCATTAATTAACAGGTTAAATACTATATTCACATTAATAAACCACTTAATTCATTTATTTAGAGTTTAATACAAAATACTTATAAAAAGTAATACAATCTTATATATTTATACAACACAAAAAATCAATATGTTTACAAGAAATTACTAGAAACATTCATACATAAATTATTCATAATTTAATATAAAATTTATTAAAAATTCATAGTCAATTCACAGTTTAAATAGAAAATTCACAATTTAATGCAGTAAATTTATAGTTTATAACACAAAAATCACATATTAATATACAAAATTCACAGCTTAATACACAAAATTCACAACTTAATACAATAACCTTGCACTTTAATACACAAAATAGTATGCATTCACAACCATATTATCAACTGAAAATTCTTAATAAAATGAAGTCATAGTTTAATACACAAAATTCATAGATTAATATAATAATTTCATAGTTTAATATATAAAATTCACAACTTAATATAGACAATTCACAATTTAGATATTAAATTCACAGCTTAATACAATCAATTTACTGTTTAACACACAAGCTTCATAGCTTATACAATATATTCACAATTGAATATAATATTTCAGACACTCATTGACAGCTTTATACACAATCGTTCACAGTTTAAAGACTTATCAAATCCACTAAGTTGTTAAACACTTTATGTACCCAATTGTAAGGCTATATAATATTTCATCATTAAGTTTCACATAATCAATTGCATATTAATAGTTTGTTTACTAAATATATTAATATGGTATTATCATTAAATTAAAACTTATATTATTTAAGAGGTCAATTGATTTCTAGATTTCTATCTGTCTCAATTACAAATATTTCCAAACTATTTGAGTTGTTAGAATAAGAATATATCCATAATTCAATTAGTCTATAAAAAACAAATAATAATTTCTATTAACGAAATCTAAATAATTATTACATCTAATATGTCATGTTAAATAATGTAAAAACATCATTCAATAAATTAATATATGAAAAAGGAAATTTACGAGAATCTCATACAATGTAAAAGTAACTTTATTGCAATCTCATATTAAATGTAAAAGGAACTCTATGACAAAAAGGAGTTATGCGCCTATTAAAATATATTGATCCAAACAAATATTAAATTGATATTTAATCAAAGCAAATAAAATCATAACCTTGATACGGTTGTATTTTGCTATTGGTCCTCCAAGGATCTTTTTAATTTGTCTATATTTATGATTTCAAATAAAAAGTTATTAATTACTACAACTCAAAAGTTTTTATAATTTATTCTTAATAATTGGTTGTAACTTTTTATTTTCCTCTCAATTATATACATTGTATTCGTATTAATAATATATAAATAAGTTTTTTCACAAACAATCACGTGTTTAAAGATATTTTTAATTAAAATAAGAATAGTTTACAAAAAAGAATGTTTTGCCGCATCATGGCTATTACTAGGCGGATTCTTTTTTGAACAATAAGTACTCTTTCATAATTAGTTTAATTTATTAATAATTTTTTGTTGTATGCCTTAAAAGCGTTAAACATGCTATAATGAGTTTTTATATCAACTTCATATAAATATAATTATTTCAAAGTTAATAATACCGATATGATTATTTTAATAACGTGTGTGTATGTATGTGTCTGTGTGTATGTGTATTTGTGTGTGTGTGTGTGTGTATATATATATATATATATATATATATATATATATATATATATATATATATATATATATATATATATATTAGGTGTCTTATATATATTTTTTGTATGATTTATCAATGTTTAATAAGGTTTTTTTTTTTTTTTTTTTTTTTTTTTTTTTGTTACAAATGTTATAGTAGACATAGTGTTTTTATGTTATTAAAAATTGTAGTATTTATATTTTTCATATATGTGTTATTCATTAAATACATAAATTAACATATAACTTATATACAATTTACAAACCTTAAAATGGTCAATAAAATCATAAAATACTTATTTTTTATGCTATTTGTTATTCGTTATATATAGAAATCAATATACACTTTATATACATTTCTTAACATTGTGTTTTCATTTATAAATATTAAATCACAATTTATGGAATTAAGAGAATGATTAAATAATTGTGTGGAAGTGCGTGTTTGCTGTTAAAAAAAGCTATATAAATATATTCTTGCACAATGCGCAAGGATTCGTCTAGTTAGTGTATAAAAAGACATTTGCTTCTCATGCAAATGGTCAAATATGGCAGTACAAACTGCTTCAGATGTTGCACCCTGGGAACAGATGGTGAATCTACTTAAGGTATTCGTGTCAAACACGAACCTCAGTCAATCGCCATCCAATGCCCGTAGATCAGGGCTAGTTAATTTAGAGACAAGGAACATCAAAAATGGCTTTTTGATAGAAGATTATTTAGGAGAATTAGTCTTAACTAAGTTGTAGTATATGTTACAAGGATTTCGTACATATAAAGAACGTAGAAATCCGAGTTATAACGCAGAAGTTATGGTCTGTTGAATTTTCGCGACAGAACGACACGACACAGCGCGACGTAAACAGTGAATTTACGTTAGAGCGATATTTGGCTTTAGCGATCTAAACGAAAGTCGTAGAATAAGTTAAACCGAGAGCATGCATAAAAAGAACGTCCAAATCTAACTTCGTATGAGGAAGTTATGATTTTTCTAAATTTCAGTTTAGCAGTATGCAGCCTGAAGTTACATTGAGATCGAGTGAGTTCTAGCTGAAACAATCTAAACGAGAATCGAAGATCTCATTGATAGTAGTGAAACAGTGAAAAGACAGTCGAAAACTGACGTCATATTAAGGAGTTATGAATTTTAACGGAGTTTTCCTGTCCCGGCCTACTAAAAATAATATATTATTAATATATTGAAAATAAAGTCAAAATTAGCCAACGGATTCTAAATGAGAGTTGTAGAGCATAATCTCACATACGCTTGTATATAAAGAACGTCGAAAACGGAGTTCGTATGCGAAAGTTATGAATTTCTGAAGTTCGGGGCGCGAAACCCTAAAACTGTCAGAGACCACGACGTGAAAACGGTGTTCACGATGTGAACTGACTTCTGACGCCTTCGGGAGCCTAAAACGATATGCAAACACTGTTCACGATGTGAAAATCGAGAAAACAGCCCTATAAATAGAATTCTAGGGGCAACCGTTTATGGTTGCCAAATCTCATCTCTCTCACTCCCGATACCCTCTATAAGCTATCCCGAAGTACCCCCGAAGCCCCGGTATCATCTCGAGACCCAAAGTGAGTCCTGACGCTTCGAAGATCCCGAGAAGAAAAGATTTTTCAAGCCGAAGCTCTACCCGCGAGAAGTCCGGTGTGTGAAGATATATCGGTTTTACCGAAGAATTTCTACTTGAAGAGCCGTAGTGCTGTCCGATAATCGTCTTATCAAGTGAGTGTATAGTCTCTTTCATAAACACGATTTTAATACAAGTATTGTTTGAATGTATTGAGTATATGTTTTGGGTGAGTGTGTAGTCACTCTCTTCTACCCCATAAATATGAAGTATTTACTATGAAATACATGTTATGTGTTTATATATTGTTGTTTATTAAGATGAGTGCGGAATGGATGTTTTATATAGTTTTAAATGAGTTAGATTGTATATGTATTTTATATCTACAAATATGTTGGGTAAACGGGTAGATAAGATAGTTGGTGTGTGATAAAAGAGGAGTTGGATAATGAGATCAAGAGGTTAGTTTTAGATCTAGGAGTATTGATCAGGTAAAGAGATAAGCTTGTTATTAGTCCGGGAGTATAGATTAAGACTAAGTTAATTGTCCCTAGTCTGGGAGTATGGATCGGACACAATTATTGATTCGGGAGTATGGATCAGATCAGGAGATTAGTTTTAGATCCGGGAGTATGGATCAGGTGAAGAGATTAGTTTTAGATCCGGGAGTATGGATTACGTGAAGAGATTAGTTTTAGATCCGAGAGTATGGATCAAGTGAAGAGATTAGTTTTAGATCCGGGAGTATGGATAAGGTGAAAAGATTAGTTTTACATTCCGGGAGTATGGATCAGGTGAAGAGATTAGTTTTAGATCCGTGATAGGGATGAAGTAAACAAGAAGGTTTTAGATACGAGAGTTTAGATCGTGTCGTTGTGAGGATCGATGGGGTGGGATAAGAGTTGCTTTTATATGGTGAAATTATATAAGTTTGTGAGTTCTAATATATATATATATATATATATATATATATATATATATATATATATATATATATATATATATATGATATAACATTGTGGGATGAAAACCCTATATGTTCACCAGGCTCCCAAGCCTGACCCACTCAGTTTTTTTTTGCATTACAGGTTATGACACGAGAGCATAAGTTGGCTGACATAACGAGAGATTTTGGATTATAGGCCAATAGTTATGAATAACTGTTGTAAGGTCTATTTATGTCCTGTTTATGCTTTTGGTATGTATTGAACATGACATCCCGAGATTTTGTTATATAATGAAAATACATTTCTTTAAAGAAATGTTTTGATAAATTATTATCATATTTTGTTTTGGGAACAAATTCCGCAACTGTTTTCTGTAAAAGATTACTCTGATTTTTAAAAAAAAAAAAACATAAACAAATCGGTCTTTTCTGGCCGTGAAATTGGAGATGCCACACGTCGTTGTTATTTATTTTGTAGATTTATTAACAAGAACCAACAACTGTCACACTGTCGAACGAATTAAAAGATGAGACACAAAGGTAAAACCAACATGAAGATCGTATATTCTTTGAACATTGCATGAATCATGTTCTTAAATGCATTAAGTAATATCTCGGGATTTATTGTCAATTATCATTCTTTCCAATAGCTATGGAAGAAACAATAAACACAAAATGAATACCCATAAACACAAAGGAAAAAAGAATCTAGAACAATGTGCTTGCTAATCTGTAGAGATAGAAGAGATCTCGATTTTGGGTTACGGAATACGGCTCCAAGAGATTTGTATATATAGTCGTAGAAATTTTAAGAGAAAAAGAGCGAAATTGTGATGACGACAATCATATCATGGCTTGCCACGTGTCATGCAGTTTGACTACGTCAAACCCTAATCGTGACGCCTTGCGCTCCAAGCAATGTGTTTTTTGGAGGCTTCTAGAAGCTTATCCATGAAGTCAATTTGGTGTAACCCAATATGACCTGCCCTGTTAAAAATAAAAGCTTCTCAACTCCTAACGATGATGTGACATGTAAAAAGCAAAGTGCGCCTAAATTGTGTTATTTTGCAAGCTTGTATCTCATGTCCATGTCCTAACTAGGTGTGCATGTGGGTTTGGCTCATCCCTTAACATCCATTAAAGCCTTTTAATGGTAAAGGCATGGAAAGCCTATAAACCCTTCAAATGTTCTTTCACCAAAGAGAAACTAGCCAACTTGTTATTTCTTTCACAATGTCCAACTTAAATCACTAAAACAAACAAAATATGACAAACCAAAAATGGAAGACATATCCTTAATTATAGGGGTGAACGTATTAACCGAAAAACCGAACCATATAAAATTAACCAATATAACCAATCCATTTTAACCGAATCATTACTAAAAGATATGGTGCAGTTTCTAATTTTGAGTAACCTTATTCATGGTTTGGTTACGGTTTTCATCTAAAACCGAACCACTATAAACCGAACAAACCAATAATATTAATAAATATTTTTAAGCAAAAACATCATAAATGGTCCCTGTGGTTTCCCAAAATCTGAAGTTTAGTCCCCGTGGTTTAAAAACCTCATAGATGGCCATGTGTTTTCAAAACTTTTGATGTTTGGTCCTTTTTGCTAACTCCGTTAAGTTTGTCCGTTAACTGAAGGGTATTTTCGTCATTTCACCACCGCAGGGACCATTTATGATATTTTCAGTTATTTTTTTTAAAAGAAAAAACTAAGTATAAGTACTCTCTCTCTTTCTCTCTCTCTCTCTCTCTCTCTCTCTCTCTCCCCTTCAGGTGCCCTGTTCCAGAAAAGCAACATAGGTACTTCCGGTGAATACCATTCCATTACTGACCATTGATTTCTCCATCCCAAAAACACCACACATGTCTCCTCCCTCTATTCCAGAAACATCACACACGACCCCCCTTTTCCCTCTTGTCATCTCCAACCAAAGCAACCTTTTAGCACCAACGATCTTGAACCCAATTCGTCTCCAACTGTTTGATTTGACAAAGTTCCGGTTGTTTGAGACAAGATAAGAGGACATAAGAGTTCTTTACAATCCTTAACCATATGCATGATTAATCAAACAAACTAAGAATCAATTGATATTAATCACAATCAAACAAAGTCAATAGTCAAACAACCCAAGAATCCAACAGAGTCGAGAATTAAAGAAGCAAGCCGATAATGAAAAACAGTTAAACAAAGACTAGAATCAAATTTATAGGAGGAGCTATCGATTTTAATGCCTGTAAACAGACAAACCAAGAATCAAACACAGTCAAACAAAACCAAAACTTTAAGACAAAACTTCATTTTGGATGGAAGATGAACCAAAAAATTAACCAAGAACATCCGGTACCGATTTGTGTGTGCGTGTGGATTTTTAAATTATTCCTTAGATGATCAGACAACCATCGAGATGATCAGAGGGGGTAAGGATCCTGGTTGTAGATAGGGGAGGAGGGCATACCCATTAAATTTGCAGAAAACACGAAAAGGAAAAGAAGAGGAGTGGCTTTGATCGAATCAAAAATAGTGAAGAGGGAGGGAGGGCATACCTGTAATGTAACTGAATCGGAGGATTGGAGCTCAATTTCTTCAGAAAATCTCTATTTTCCAAACCGGTAACCCTAGGTTTAGCCAATTTTTCATCTGGATTGAATTTCTTAACACATATAGACACTTTATTAGCTTGATAAGAACCAGAAGGAAGATTCGAGGTGAAAACAGTAACCGATTTTGAGCCTAATTATGCTTTATCCAGTTGTCCTTCCAATGACATAGAAACATCGGGATCAAGATTTGGAGGGAAACCCTCCATAAAACCGAACTACAACTAGGTACAAGAATAGAGAAGAAAATATGGGTCGTGATGGGAGTTGGTCCGATGGAGCGACGCAAGCAGTAACAACAGCACATGTGAGGATGTTTGGCTAGCTCCGATCAGCAGCAAAGAGTGAGAAACACGATGGTGATGGTGGCTGGTGATATAAGAACGAAAGGAAGAGAGAGAGAGAGATAGAGAGGGAGAGTATAACCCCTTTGCATATTATTATTATTATTTCTATAAAATAAAAGAAAAAATCATAAATAGTCAATGTGGTAGTGAAATAACGAAAATGTCTTTCAGTTAACGGATAAAACTTAATAGAATTAGCAAAAAGGACAAAACATCAAAAGTTTTGAAAACACAAGGACCATCTATGAGGTTTTTAAACCACGAGATTAAACTTCAGATTTTAGGAAACCACAGGAACCATTTATGATGTTTTTTCTATTTTTAATATAATATAATATTAATATGGTATGTAATTATATTAAGAGTCAAAAATGTAAAAGGTAATTATTTGGAATTAGATATGATAAATTATCGCTTATCAATACGATTATATATACATAATTATTCACTTTCTATAACAATGAACTTTACATTTTTCAATTTTTATAGAAAAGTATTTTATTTTTTATGTCATCTAGTATCATTATGGTTAACCGATATTAACTGTTAACCGACTAAAACCAATATTAACGGCTACCCACTAGTTATTGAAATACATTAACCAATTGTAATGGTATCGTTTGGTTTTGACCGATAACCGAACCAAACCGCCTCATGGTGTATTCGGCACACAACATTTTAGAGTTTCTATCTTTTAGCTTTAAAAAAAAAACATGAAAAAAAAAGCTTCGTTCAGCATTAGGAGCTTCTAGATTTTAACAACAAAAAAAAAAAACTCTTATAATTTTGAAAATTGACTTACTTACCTATTTTAAAAATCAATGACATGTTTATATCAACTAGTTTTATGTAATTAGAAAAAAATCCATATCAACTCCAAGAAGAAAATGATTAGGGGAGGGGGTTCCATTATTAATATAAGATGTCAGATTTATTCCAGATATAACGTTGGTTTTACATTTACAATAAAAAAAATTAGGAGTAATTTGGGCTTTTTCATTTCACCACCAGTTTTTATACAAACTAATAGGTTAATCTTCTTGTTGAATGTGTTTATCTTGAACTGTCCCGGTTGAACACACGGTTAAAAAAAAAAAAAAAAAAAAAAAAACCCAAGGTTTTCTATTCTTTCTATTCTAGACTCATCTATATTGTAGATCGATTTGGTTTAACTTGAGCTCGAGCTATTCAAGTGTATTATTGAGCCAAGCATGACCGTACACGTATTGGAATATTCTACTCATGGAGCTCGCAAGTTTAGTTATATTTAAACATTATTCATATTTATATAATCTAGCCAATTGGAGTTGATATCACAAACTTAATGGTATTTCTACACAATCTACTTTTAATAACCAATCTAGTCGAGTCAGTCCAAAATCGAAAGTGTACTAATTAATCAAGCTCAAGCCCGAGCTTGAAAATTAAATCTCCATAGGGCGTGAATTTTTTGCTGGAGTCGAATTTCAAGTTCGAGTATTTGACTCGACTCGGCTCCTTTACACGGTACAGTTATGATCTTACATAGTATGAAACAATAACACATCCAAGCATCAGCTATCAAATTGGACCTTGCTATCCATTATTAAAGTATAGAAACGAGTTTCATTCATCATATAAACTAAAAACGATTACATAAAACACCTAAAACTCTTGTTACCACAAATACCATTATATATAAAAACATACAACATTATTTGTTACATGAAATTTACATCACTAGATTACTTTGAATTCGTCAACCTCAAACTGAAATCCCAGAGTTTGTTGGCGAGTTCAGGGTCTTGAGCATAGTTGCTTGCTTTAGACAAGTTGCTGTCCGCAAAATACTGGCCACTAACGCCCTTTACTTGTGGATGCAGCGCCACATAGCATGTAGTTGCAGCCCCCTGGATTCACATAAACCACAATTATAATTTATATATAATCAGTCTTTTAATCATCTTTGATAAAATAAGCAATGAATAAAGCCGAACAAGTGGAAAATTTAAGAAACCTGTGAGATGTTCTTCAAGAAACGGTTGAATATACCATAGAATACAGCTGCACCAACACAAGTTTATGATGGTCAGAATGAAAGAAGATATATTTAATCTTTGGGGCGTAAATAAGAAACTGGATGTGAAATTAGGGGTTGAGAGAGAGAGAGAGAGATACCATTGAAACCACCATTGCGTGCAAGGTTGGTGGCAATAACTCCAGGGTGCACAGCATTTGCAGTTATTTTCACACCTTCTTCCTGAAACCTCCTTGTGAGTTCTTTTGCATGCAATGCATTAGCCAGTTTTGATTGCCCATAAGCTGAGAAGGCGCAATAGCTGTATCACAAATCACCAATAAACACCATATGCATGTTAATTCAATGTTTATAGAATTTAATGAGATGCATCCAATCTTGAAAGAAAATAAAGGTTTACCTCTTCTCATCATTGATCTTATCGAACCTGATTCCTTCTTTGTATGTCATCCTATGAATCTCTGATGAAAGAATAACGATTCTTCCTTCTTTCCCACTTTCTTTCACAGTCTTTTTCATGGTATCCAACAACATGTTTGTCAAAAGGAAGTTACCTAAATAAACAAAACAAACCAATTCCTTTTCATCACCATGTATGTCCCTTTCTGCATCTAAAACAACATATAGAAGTAGTATGGAGAGCATGACACTTACCAACATGGTTGGTTGCAAATTGCAATTCTATGTTGTCTTTGCTAAGAGAGAAGGGAGGAGTCATAATCCCTGCATTCAGACTTTTCAACACCAAATATCAATAGAATTAGTTCATTTGCAACATCTCAACTTATAACTAAGCAACTAACCAGAAAGGAATGTTTTAAATGATGAGATTGTCTTTACATTAAGATGTTCAAAGGATACCCCTTTGAACGATACAGTGATGCAAACTGTCGCACAGATTGCATTGAGCTGATATCTAATTCCATCACATCAAGTTTTGCGTTTGGGATTTTCTCAACAATGCTTTCTTTCACTTTTTTACCAGATTCAAGGTTTCTGACTGGCATAATGACATGTACCCCACGTAAGGCAAGCACACGTGTGGTTTCTAATCCGATGCCACTCGTTGCTCCTGAAAGACATATAAAATATGGGTGTGAAATGATTGAATATGGATTAATGGATCATGCGCATATTTGTTTTATTAGAACATGTTACACGCAAATATGGTTCATATTATGAACGTATCCCTACTTTATAGTGCCAGTTCTCACTATTAAAGTTCAAACAGATTAGCGTTTTAACTTCAACATCAATAAAAATCGTCCATTTATAGACAAACAACTGACAAATCACTGATTGATATGAACCGTTTATAAAGTTCATCAATCTGTTGTGTCTCCGATCCTTCATGAAATAGTCATAAAGTTGAACATGTTATGGTTTATGGGTTAAATCGATGTAGAGGAAAATAGCTTCTGCAAATTGACGTTCTTTCTAACTCCTAGATTGACGATACACTTAGCACAACCAAACCATCAACATTTTTTGTTTTTACTTTTTTCCAAATGGTTGATTGAGACCTATCACTGAACAATCATGAAAAACATAAGACTCGGGAGAAGCAATATCATCGATAGTAAACAGAGGACATGAATACAGCCACACACATGCATTAGAAGTAAGATTACCAGAAACAATGGCAGTGAGGCCGGTTCCATCAACTCCTTTAGTAACATCTTCAGCTGTAGAAGAAGCAGCGAATCCAGATTTTCCCGTGCATATTGAAATCCATGTCATTTTTTCCACTTAGAGAAGATTTTGTAGAAGATGATATCAAGTTGTAATAAAAACTTGCATCAAAGTACCACTATATATAATGTCACAGAGCATCAATCAAAAAAGAATATAATGACTGGGGCAAGCGATTGGATGCGCGGGCCACACCAGATTCCAGAACCCGGTGCCTCCACCAGCCGCCGTAAGTGGATATTGAAAAATATGTCCAAATTTCCCGGCATCTTGATGAACTTATGACGTTATCCAACTTTAAGTCAGCAAACGGGCCCCATCTTCCGTTAATGACTACCGGCGGCGACCTTGGGTTGGGTCCAGATATGCTAAATGACCCTCCTCGCCGCAGTAAACGTGTTGTGACAAAACAGGGCTCCGGATCTTAATCTCCTTGTTGATGACATCAATTAGTTGAACGTTCACTTTGTCTGACCCAGCAAAAGCATTGCCAGCATACCCAACCACTAGGCTATTATGCATCCAACTGAACTGAACAGAATCTGCTCATACCCATTACACGCCTCCTCGATGGCCTAGCTCTCTTCAAACGAGGCGACTCCTGATGAAGCTCGGTTGACTCCCTCGTGGTTGTGCTTGTGCGCACAACACCACATTTGATCCGTTTTCCTTTAGGAATCTCAGGGGAGACCATAGGGATATGCATTGCTTGGAAACAAATAGAATCATGAAAACCAGAAGAATTAGTGGGATAATCAAGCTGCAATGCAATAAATCCTTACACCAGTGCTTGACTTTATTAATAATAGATGAAGAAGACATAGCAACTGAATCATGAACAGATGCATTTCTAGCAAGCCAAATCTCCCAGCAACCGGAGAAGATAAAACTACCCTAAAAATCCCATTCAGAAATTCCCAGTGAATCTGCTTGTTCTCGAGACCCTAATCGTTTGAAATGTGGTGAATGAGGGAATTAGGGATCTTTTTTTGTTCCCCAACCAATTTGTCATATGTCAAAATTTGGTCCCTGGACTTTTTATTGTTCTTTAACAAAACTATTAGGTTACCAATAAGGGAACAACTCTATTCCAATGTTTTAAAACCCGGGTTTTTAATTAATCCGGTGTGACGACCGGTTCACGGGTCAACCGGTTCAACCGGTTGAACCGTCGGATCAACCCGGTTTATGATTTTTTTCTATTTTTATATATTTTTACTTTCCTGTATAATACATAAACATATAAAACCTATAATTTGATGTACACAAAGTTTAAATATTGAAAAACATTAAACAAACCACAAATAACTCGTTGTTTTGGTGTTCGATACTTGTATCCAAGTATCAAAACCCTATTAAAACGGGTCAACCCGGTTTTAACCGGTTCAACATAAGCGGTCGAACCACGGTTCAAGGGAAACCCGGCCGGTTCGATCCGGTCCGTATTTCTACAAAAAACCGTTGTCAATTGACCCACCTTTTACCCCGGGTCACGATCCAACTGGTTGAACCGGCCGGGTCAACCCGGGTTTTAAAACATTGCTCTATTCCAATTTTTTTAATTAACGTGTTTGATATTTTAGGTCCGGATCTAAGCAACTGCATTAAGTCAAGGTTATACTTAAGTTTCCAAAACTAATAAGATTAGCCCGTCCACATACCCTTTTTTGACTTTATATCGACTTTCAATAATATATTTAGGGTTCTAATGATAGTTATATTGATTGAATTAAAAATATATTTTTTATTTTAAATTGATTTTCAATAATATATTTCGGGTTCTTTAATAGGTGATAGTTGTTGATGGAATTAAACACATTTTTTTATTAGATCCGGTGAATAATAGACATATCAAAGACTATATGATCAAATTAAAATTTTGTGTTATAAAATTTTGAATTTGACTAAATTAAATCCAATTTTTTTTTTACCATAAAAGACATATCAAACAGATTATATTTTATTTTTTTCAATCTTAGTTATAATTTTTTTACAAGTAAGTCAAAATCCAAATTAAATGTATTTATTCAAATACAATTTCTTAATTCTCAATTTTCAAAATATTAACCTAGTTTAGCATCTAAATATTTAATTAATATTTAATTTTTTTTAAATTGACTAACTTTAAAAATAATTATAAGCATTATTTTTTATTAAGTTAATTATTTTAATTTTTTAATTTTCATTATAGAAAAAATATACTTAAAAATTAAAACTTCTAGCCCTAAAATACGAGTTTTACATATTCGGCATGACTCTTCAAATTGGACACAAGTCGGATTGAAATAATAAGTTTTTAATATTCAAATGTTAGATAGTCTCAACAGAAAAAACAACATTTTATTCATTTACGTATATTTTTTATATATCTTTTAATCATTAATTAGTTTATTTGAGTTTTTTTCAGTTAAACTAGTTAGCTAGCAAGTTAAAAGCATATATTTGTATTGAAGTTTTTTAATAGTTTGTAAATTTAAACAAGGTAACTTTTATAAAGACCGAAACCACAACAAAAGAAAACCAAATTGATTCCAATTCGAGTGAATTAAAAATATATATATATATATATATATATATATATATATATATATATATATATATATTGTACAAACTACAAAACCATAATATCCGTGTCATTTACTATTGAATTTAAAATTTAAAAAAAAAAAGTACAAAACCAACCCTGTATTCATGGATATCCTTTTCCCCAACTCAATGGCCCGTTGAGCTGGGGTTGGCTTAATAATAATAAGTCTAGTGTTCTTTTGGACACGGCAAGTTGGGCCGAGGAATGTAGGCCCATAAACTTTCTTTTAAAAACAAAAGATACAATGCTAATGAGTTTGTTTCCCGACTCAATAGGTTGGCTGAATGATTCATCAACAACAACCTCTTTTCCTCGACTCGACAGGTTGGTTCAAATGTTCAACGATCTGAGTATCAAACTCTACCAGATTTGAGTGGACCACGTTATCAATTATCACAGTTGTATTAAAAAAAAAAAAAAAAAAAAAAAAAAAAAAAACATGTATCGAACTCACTAAAGATAAGTCTAGTAACGTTGACAAAAACTGAGTTTCATTCATCATTAAAGAAAAAGTAAACGACGTTTACATATATAAAAATTTCACAACTCTTGTTACAACAAATACGTACGGTTCTATGAATGTATAGTGTAGATTATCTTTATGTTTCATGAAACATACAAGGGTCGGGTCCAAGGAGTTGACCAGCAGATATCTATAGATAGATAGATAGATTAGTTGGATTTGGTGAGATTCAAACTGAAATCCCAGAGTTTCTTGGCGAGTTCTGCATCTTGAGCATGTTTGCTTGCTTTACCCAAGTTGCTGTCTGCAAAATATTCACCACTAACCCCCTCAACTTGTGGGTTCAAGGCGACATAGCATGTAGTTGCAGTTCCTTGTGGGATGTTCTTCAAGATGCGGTTGAATACACCATAGAAAAAAGCTGTAAATACCAACACAAGTTACAGATCATCAATCAGCATGCATTCAAATTCATATATGGAAAAACTAAGAGGACTAATTATTTCTTGTGAAAGACACAATATAGTCAATATTGGGGGAGTAAATAAGAAACTGGATGTGAAATTAGGGGTTGAGAGAGAGAGATATATACCATTGAAACCGCCATTGCGTGCAAGGTTGGTGGCAATAACTCCAGGGTGTACAGCATTTGCAGTTATTTTCACACCTTCTTCCTGAAACCTCCTTGTCAGCTCTTTCGCATGCAATACATTTGCAAGTTTTGATTGCCCATAAGCTGAGAATGCGCTATAGCTGAAAACCATATCATGAATCAGCAAAAGAAAAAAAAACATTATAAATGAATGTTTATAGAATTTAATGAGATGCATCCCATCTTGAAAGGAAAGGAAGGTTTACCTCTTCTCATCATTGATTTTATCGAACCTAATTCCTTCTTTGTATGTCATCCTGTGGATCTCTGATGAAAGAATAGCGATTCTTCCTTCTTTCCCACTTTCTTTCACAGTCTTTTTCATGGTATCCAACAACAAGTTTGTCAAAAGGAAGTTACCTACACATATTAACAAAACAAATTATTTATGTATGTCCCTTTCTGCATCTAAAACGGCATATACAAAGTAGTATGGAAATTAACGATGACACATACCGACATGGTTGGTTGCAAATTGCAATTCAATGTTGTCTTTGCTAAGAGAGAAGGGAGGACTCATGATTCCTGCATTCAGACTTTTTAACACAAAAGAAAATTGATAAAATCAGTTCGTTTCCTACATCCCCAATTTAATAAATGATCAAATGAATTTGTCTTGTCTTACATCAAGATGTTCAATGGATACCCCTTTGAACAATACTGTGATGCAAATTGTCGAACGGATTCCTGTGAGCTGATATCTAACTCCATCACATCAATTTTTGCGTTGGGGATTTTCTCGACGATGCTTTCTTTCACTTTTTTACCAGATTCCATGTTTCTGACTGGCATAACCACATGCACCCCACGTAAGGCAAGCACACGTGCCGTTTCTAATCCGATGCCACTTGTAGCTCCTGAAAGTCAAATACAACGAGGGTTTTAGAGGATTTTGAATATGGATCAATAGATCATGTTCATATTCGGTTGCATCAAATTTAGACGATCGATGAGGACATTTAGCTTCATTAAAACATGTTAGATGCACATATGGTTCATAAATAATCGTCAGATCACTATCAAATCTCGGTTCAAATTTTAGTAACAAAATTTCAAGTGTCTATGATCGCTGCTTTTTAATTCGACTTCTTAATCTTAATGATCAAATAGATAAGGGTTGTAACTTCAACATCAATTGAAATCGTAGACAAGCAAATGGTAATGGCATGCATCGACTGGAAAGTTCGTCGAGTACAGGTGAAATCAGACGGAAAGTTTCCGCAAACAAACAGACAGCGATCAGGATCCGACGGAGCAATATTCAATTATTCATCAATCAGAAACAGAGCACAGGAACACACACACACACAAACATGAATTAGAAGTAAAATTACCAGTAACAATAGCGGTGAGGCCAGTTCCATCGATTCCTTTTGTAACATCTTCAGCTGTAGAAGAAGCAGCAAATCCAGATTTTCCGGTGAATATTGAAATCCAAGTCATTTTTGCGTGATTTTTTGGGTTGAAAACGAAAACACTTGTAAGAATCAAAGGCACTATGTATAACGTCGCAGATGATCAAGAAAACCCACTTAGATAAGTTTTGTAGAAGATGATTTCAAGTTGAGATGAAAGCATGGATTATATAGTATCGCAGTCTGCAGATAAGCGATTCAACGCCCTACTCGGTCTTTCACGCTATAGAATAAAAAACATGGAAAGTAAAAGGAAAGTCAGACTCAGACTCAGACGTCAATCTTGAACGATCCCATTTGAAATCTAGAAGGATCAAATATATTGTTTAAGTCCATGAACTTTATCATATTGTAATTTTAAGTCCCTATACTTTTTAAACCAAGTTCAAGACCAGTGTCATTGATCATAATCTCCTATTAACCCTAACCCTAACCCATTCTAGCTAAATCATTTTTTAAGACCAATTCATATTGTATTATATAGAACTTGTTGGACACGACTCTACTTTATACTTGTTAGTTGTATACAAACGTTATTTAATTACAATTGATACATATAAACTATTAAAATTCACAAGTCAAGTGTTTT